TTGCCTCCTTCCCTCTCTATAACTTTTTTTTTCCCCTTCCCCTCCCCCATGGACTTCTGTTAAGTTTCTCAGGATCCACATATGAGTGAAAACATATGGTATCTGACTTTCTCGGCCTGATTTATTTCACTTAGCATAATACCCTCCAGTTCAATCCAGGTTGGTACAGCCTCTCTGGAAAACAGTGTGAAGGCTCCTCAAAAAATTAAAAATAGATGTACCCTATGACCCAGCAATAGCACTGCTAGGAATTTACCCAAGGGATACAGAAATGCTGATGCATAGGGGCACTTGTACCCCAATGTTTATAGGAGCACTTTCAACAATAGCCAAATTATGGAAAGAGCCTAAATATCCATCAACTGACAAATGGATAAAGAAGATGTGGTTTATATATACAATGGAGCACTACTTGGCAACGAGAAAGAATGAAATCTGGCTATTTCCATTTTAAAATGCAAGTCAAAACAAACAATTTTGTAAGCATCTAAATTTCTTCCATAGATTGCTCTTCCTGGACTGGGGAGTGTAGATACTGAGTCTATATTGAACTGAAAGCTCCAAAGAGGTAAAAAAGGAAGTAAAGCATTCTTCCCTACTTGCCATACTGGAGAAGAGTCCATCTCTCTTGAAAACCCTTCTGGAGGTGGCTGAATTAACTTTGTAACAAATTCTAAGGCTGAGCTGTCATCACAGAGTAACAACATGTCTCTGTTTAAAACAGACTTTTTTTTTCAAACACATATACACTGTGAGATATATACATGTTTACATCACACATGCACACAGGATGTTAGCCTAGATAAGTTTTTATGTTATTTTATTTGCAAGGAATAAAATATTTGTTCAACTTTGTGTAGGCGAAGCCAGGCCTGACATAGCAGACGATCTTAATTGTCCGGGTTCTTCCACAAAATATCAAGCAATAAAGTTTATTATTTACATCTCTCTTGGGGAAGTAACAAAACCCCAACCTTACCCTGGTTCAGGGAGTACTTCACAGTTTTACAGGGCTGTTTTGTGGAAGCCAAGGGCCAGAGGGAAATCGAGTCCTAAGCAGGTAAACGCAGCCAGGGTGCCAGCGTGAAAAAAGATGGCACACTCGGAAGAGTTCATCAGAAGAGAATCTAACCAAGATATTTTCAGAAATGACAGGTTTTGGTAAATTATTTTAACAAGCAGTGCTTTGCCTTGTAAAGGCTGACCTCTACAGACTGCATGATCTGGGCTCCTCTGCCCTCGGACTTCTGGTTGGATTTGGACAGTGAGTGCACCAGGAGGAGGTTAAGAGGATGGAGGAAGAAAGAAAAAAAAGGAAAGAAAAGAATGGCCTGTTGTTTGTTTCCTCTGTTTCCTCTGCTCTGGTGCATTCCTGGCAGTGGCTTCAGTTTTTAGCAGCCACAGCTCTTGTCGGGCAGGCCCTCCTCCACGGTGTGGCTTGTATTGTGACAATGTGTCCTCCACCGGACCCTTCAGGCTTGGGCCTGGGGTTGCTTTCCCACTCTTACTTGTTCTTGCCGCCCTATCCTATCTTACTAGTTCTCTGAACCTGTCCATGTTTCCGTAAATATCCACGGATCAGAGAAACAGTGGTTCTTGGTGGGTAAAAGAGTAAAAGAGCCAGCACCACACAGAAACAAAACCCACCTACGGCAAGACAAACATCACTAATCACCATAGGGTCCCTTTTCCGGAAATGCTTTATCTATAATATATAGAGTGTGCATTTATATGGGAAAGTAGGAGTTTAAAAAGGATGGTTATTGAAAGATGAAAAGAAAAAAAAAACTTTAATAGTCTTTTCCTATAGGCTTAGCAAAAGTTTATGAGTTGCTTTGTTATCAAGTATTTCATGTTAAAATGGAAAGGAGATATGACCTCAATATTTTTAGTTTTTTTAATTCAACTCTGAAGAAATATTTAAAGTAACATAGAAGTATCAGATATACCATGATAACTTAACAATTTTTAAAGCTCCTAACACCACTAAGCAATGATACATCTCAGTACTACTGCAAAAGAAAATTGTATCCTCCACAGCTTTAGCAAATATAACTGAACACTGGATATCTATTTGTTTAATGTTTATTTATTTTTGAGAGAGGGAGAGCACAAGCAGGGGAGGGGCAGAGAGAGGAGGGGACAGAGGATCTGAACTGAGCTCCATGCTGACAGCACAGGGCCCAAACTCAAGAACCACAAGATCACGACCTGGGCCAAAGTCGGACGGTCAACCAACTAAGCCACCCAGACACCCCAAGGATATCTATATTTTTATGCCACTTTTATACACCTTGATTTTTCCACAGTAGCAAACCATGAAACACTACTGTTTTGGGGAAAAGTTTAAAAAAAAAGTTATCTGTTAATTTCTTAATTATGGCTAAAACAGTATAAAGGAAAAAAGCAGACAAAAATAAAAAACCCACCAGACAATAGCAAAACACACTAAATTTCTAACAGTTCACCAGCACAAGTCTGCAGATCTATAAGGTACAAATGGGCCCGATCATATCCCTCTGCTTTTTCAAGCACAACAAATATCCTGAACTTACAATTTCCTGAAGAACTCATTTGCCAAATATCTATTCGATTCCTTCAAATAACGTGAGTCCAGGAGTTCAATTTTAAAGTGGAGTGAATTTAATTTTACATGCCTTTTGAAAAACACAAGTCAGAAAGCAACTAAATAACTTGAGGCCGACAGTAGGGCAAAAGGAAACTGAGGTAGAAAAGTAAAAGTATTTAAGTCAAAGCTACTATTACACACATAATGGCAAAGACACAAAAAAATTAAGGACATGGAAATAGTGAACAGCATTCATTAGCCAGCTAACGCTTCTGCTAGTTCCCAAACTATGCCTACCTAATATACAATGTTTATCCTTCTTTATCTTAATAGCTACACTAATACTAAAACCCAAACATTTTTCCTAAGCGCTCTTATCTGCAGAGTATGTGTAGTAGGGTAGCGGGAAGCAAAGGCGAAAACCAGCTTAGCATATGCACTATGTTACAGGCTGTGTCCTACATAACCTTTTGAATGCATGACCTTTAAGTTGTTGAAGGTTGCCTCAGAATTTGGCTCAGTTTGATGGAAACATCTGTTCCCCTCGCAGGTATACTGTAAGGACTTTTTTCTCAGTTGGATTCAGAACACAGCAAGTGAGCCCTTGTCTGTCCAATCATACAGACCCCAACACTTGTAAATCAAGTTCTGGGAGGGCAGCAGCAGGTCCACATTCCGTCACCCTTTCTCAGCCAGCTAGGCCAACTGACCGCTGTGAGAACTGCTCTTATCATGTCATCAAATCGAAACATGTTGAGATAAGGGACTGGAAGAGGCATCTGCAGAATTCCCAAAATGTAGTGACTTTGGAACATTGACAGATGCAACTGTCATTTTATACCTTCAACTAACCTGATGTCCACTGGCCCGACACAGTAAAGCTGTCCAAGATCGATTCCAATTCTTTCACGTTATTTTCACATGTCTCTACTAGAAAGGCCTGGTGCTTCTTAGCCTTTTAATTAAGAAAACAATTACACATAATAAGGTCACATATTATAAGAGCTATAGATTTGTGTGAACATATATGGCACTGTTAAGTATAAACAAGCTAATAATTACTCCATTCAAATCTCTTATTAATAAACCTCTTTCTGTCTTAATCATACCTTTTACTTGGCTGAATGTAACCCTGTGTAAGGTCTCGATAACAATTTACTGAGGCCTTAGTGCCTGGAACTATTTTATACTTAATAATTCTTTTTATCCCCACAGCAACCCAAGAGGTAAGGGCTATTGTTATCCCAATTTTACAGATAAGAAAACTGAGACAAAGAGGAATTAGGAAACACGTTACGAGATCGAGATTGCAGTCATGTGGCAAATGGCCAGATGGTGGTCAAAAGTGAATACAGTATGACCACAGAGAAGGAACTGCAGCAGTCTACACAAGAGGAAATGGTAGCATAGGCGAGGGTCTTGGTCATGAAAAGGAACAGTGGGGGGCAACATACTTAGGAGATGGAATGACCAGGCCGTGGGACACTGCACTGGGTTAGATTTCATCAGATTAAACTGGATTAGATGTGACTGGATTGGATTGGACTGGACTGGATTGATGACCTTGGGTAAATGCTCAGATAGAAGGAGGAGTCAAGAGTGATCTCAAGTTTCAGGCTCGAAGATCTGGCAGATATCAGTAGTACAGTGAGAACAATGAAGGTAGAGAAGGTCTTATTTGGGCTGTTTTTGTTTATTTACTTGCTTGTTTGTTTTTGGCAGCGAGTACAAATGAATTTGGTTTCGATCACATTTCATTGGAAATAGCTTTTAAGACATTCCTAGTACCAGCACAACACCTGATAAATAGCAGGATTTAAATAAATATATTTGAATTAACAAAGAACAAATAAAATAGAAAGATACGGGAGGCAGCTGGACATAATGGTATAATGCTCAGAAGAGAAGTCAGGAATAGGTTTGGAAATCACATACAGATATTCCCTGGGGCTTATCTAGAGAGAATTAGACAGGAAGAGAACCTAGGACAAGGCCTTAAGGAACTACAGAAGTGAATAGTTAGAAAAGAAAAAAAACAGCAAAGACGATTGAAAAAAGAGAAAGAAAAACAGAAAAGTATAGTGTCATGAAAACCGAGAACATTTCCAAGACAGAGACGTCAGTTATGTCTAATGTCACAGAACATTCAAACAAAATGGAGACCAAATAGTGTTCAATCGGCATAGAGGTTACTGGTGACCTTGATGAAATCTGTTATAATTCAGACTGGAATAGGTTGAAGAAGCAGTAAGCCTGAATTTTGGTTTTTTTCCTGAGAGCTAAGTCAGCGGAAACAGGAAGTTTAGATACCCCTTTCCCGGTAAGAAGGGAAGGAGAAATAAAGGGAAGTAGTTGGAAGGAAGAGCGAAGCCAGAGAAGAGTTTTGTTTTTTTTAATAAATGAGAAACTTAAGCATCTGTAGAAGCTGATGAGGTGGAAACACTAGTGCAAGAGTGCCTACATATACAGAAGAAATGGGAGAACAGATCATACATGGCAAAATTATACCCTTAAAATACGTAAAACTAATAATACTTTCTTTAGATGTCAGTTCAATTATCACTTTTTCAGAAAAGTTATCCTTCTCTTCACCCCCCTGACTACATCAGTTCCCTCTATAAGATTCTTCTCAGCAATTATCACAATTATGATTCTGTATTTATTTGAATAGGTCTTTTATTAGCCTCTATTTCATACTATTTAAGCCCCGTGAAAGGAGATATGGGAGGGGTTTTGTCCTCACCAGTGTATTGCCACCACCTAGACAATACTGAATATCAAAAGTAATAGTTAAAAAACCATTTTTATATAAAACACATATTACATGTCTATAATTTTTAATTCAAATAGGATCATAGTACACATGCTGCTATATAACTTACTTTTCCATTCATATTACGTCTTTGACATCTTTCCACATCACATTTTTTTAGTTTCGTAGTAGTGTATTGTTTAGATGTACCATTAATTAACTAGTCTCCTATTGCTAAAATCTACAGGTTATTTGCATTTTTGGCTATTACTGATAATAGTACAATATACATCCTTGTATGTGTACTCATATATCTTTGCATAAACATGCAAGTATACCTGTTCCATAAACTGCTAGAAATAGATTTGCTGGGTAAAAGGGTATGAACATCTATTTTCAGACAATTGTTACCAAATTGCTCTTTAAAGAGTCCTACCTTGTATAATACCATGTCCAGTATAAGTGCCTATTTCTCAATATCTTCCCAATGATAGGAATTATCAACTTATTTTAATGTGCATTTCTTTAACTTTAACATTAAGGATCTTTTCATGTTTACTAGCCACCTGTACCTCTTTTCCTGTGAACGCCTTTCCACATCATGTGCCCGTTTTTACATTACATTGTCCATATTGACCATAGTGATTTATAATAGTCTTTTCTTTTTTTTTTAATGTTTTTATTTATTTTTGAAGGAAGAAAGAGACAGAGTATGAGCAGGAGAGGGGCAGAGAGAGGGAGACACAGAATCCGAAGCAGGCTCCAGGCTCTAAGCTGTCAGCACAGAGCCAGACGCAGGGCTCAAACTCACTCACAGTGAGATCATGACCTGAGCTGAAGTTGGATGTTCAACCGACTGAGCCACCCAGGCACCCCTTAGTCTTTTCTAAATTATAAAAACGATCCCTTTGTCATACATATTGCAGATCATTATTGCCAATTTGTCACTCACCTTGCAATCATGTTCGTAGAAACAAAATTGTATTTAAGTGACCAAATTTATCAATAATTTGCTTTGGGACTTCTAAATTTTGTGTCAGACCTTCTTTACTCCGAGATTATAAAATAATTAATTCCCTTTTTCTTCCAGTGCCTTTTCACCTTCTTTTTTTATGGCTCTTTGATCAATCTAAAGTTTGTTTGATATAAGCAATATGGCAGGGATTTAGTTACATTATTTCCTCTTATGTATGTCTCGTTACCTGAAAACTCTGGGATAATTTATCTTTAAAACACTGATTTGGCATACTGTGATATTGTGATTTATAGTAAGAAATATAATTCTGGTCTTTATCCATGGTTCCAGGCACATAGCTCCTAAAACCCTGGTAATTTCCTTTTGGAACAGTCCTAAGTCCATCTTTTATTATATTATTCAGTTTTGTTCCCAATTCCTGAAATAACTTCAGGGTCAGAAAGGTAAAATGGATGTCTTTTGTTATTCACAGCAAACTCCTTTCAACCACACCTCAGTTTATGTCAATGCCTGGGAGCGCTTGTCCTCGGGCATGCACACAGTCTGACAGACTTGTCAGGAATGACTGTGACATTATATTGAAGCCTGGCTTCCTAGCAATCACCTCTGGGTCTTAATGTTCAGTCGGTCTTTGGTTGTGTTTAAGCCCCCTTGCACCAGTAAGGCTTCCACTCTGCGTTGATGTGTCTGTGTGTAGCTTGAGGCATGCTTCCTGTCTGCCTCACATCCTGCTCAGATTGCTCTTGAGTGGATGCCACCTACCACACGTACACGGCCTTCCCAACTGCCGACTCAGCTGTCACCCCATGAGGGGTCCTCTTGGCTGTCTCTTTCTCTAGTTCTCTATTTTAAACTTCTGGCTGCTGTGTCATTTTATTATATCATAGAGGTACCAGGTTCCTCTTAATCTCTCTTCACCCAGATTTATATTGTTGTCAACCATGTCCTTAACCATGGAATTTTCCACTCTCTACTCCACATAAGATAAGTCTCCTCAAGCAGAGGTACAGAGCCCTTTTCCCTGAAAGCCAGCCTGCCTTTCCTCCTGGGCAGAACCCTTGTGCCTCTGATTGGATTTGGGTGTGAAGACCCACTTTTTCCAGGACAACAATCCTGCTCTGTAAGTGGCCATTGGGGCATTGCAACGTCTGGTCTTCTGGGGCAGGAGCAATTGCCCCAATTTTGTTGACCTGCCAAGACTGGGATAGAGCGTCAGCATTACAAATGAGGTCTGGGTGGAGGAAGAGTGATCTGGTCCTCTCACTCATCCCTGCCCAGAATAAAATTGCTGCAACACAGGGCTCTGAGGGATGAGACATTCCAGCAATCTGCCACTCCCAGGAAGAAAGCATAGCCCCAGCCTAAAGGCCAAGGAGAGAGGAAGGGCCCAACCACCCAGGGTATAGCTTCTGTAACAGGGAGTACAATGGAAAAGGGGTTATGGAACCAACCATCACTCAAATGCCCCCAGGTTCTCATTGTTCTTACTGAAATTTCATTGATTTTCTTCTTTTTGATAATTTGAGATATAGTTTACATACCATAAAAAGAAATCACTTAAAGTATACAATTCAACGGTTTTTAGTAGATTCATTGAGTTATACAACCAACACCACAGTCAATTTTAGAACACTTTCTTCACACCAGCAAGAAACCCCATACCCATCAGCAGTTACTATCTTCCCTTAGTCCCATCAGCCCTAGGCAACCCTAATCTACTTCCTATCTCTACAGATTTGCCTTCTCTGGGCATTTCATATAAATGGAATCACACACTATGTGGCTTTTTATGTGTGGCTTCTTTCACGAAGCTTAATGTTTTCAAGGCTCATCCATATGAACTTCATTTGATGATTGGTACCTCGCTTTTTCTTTATGCCTGAATTATATTCCATTCTATGGATGTAACAACTTTTGTTCATCCACTCAGCAGTTGATGGACATTTGGGTTGTTTCAGCTTTATGGCTGTCATATAAAATGCTGCTATGAACATGTGAGTGCATATTTTCATTTCTATTGGCTATATACCTAAGAGTACCATTGCAAGGTCATATGGTAACTACAATTTTTCCATTTTGAAAAACTTCCAAACTGTTTTACAAAGTGGGGGGTATCATTATACCTTCCCAAGAGTAGTGTATGAGAATTCCCAATTTTTTCACATCCTCACTAATAACCTGTTATTAATTGCTTTTATTTTATTATAGCCATCTAAGTATGTGTGAA